TGCCATATTCATCTTCTCTGTCTGTGGAATAAATTTTTTTGAAGTTATTCAAAACACAGTCAAGTGGAGTTCCTTCCGTGGACTGTGAGGAACCCATGATTTCAGCCTGTGAAAACGCAAAAGGCACAGAAAGCAAGCAGACAGACAGACAACAATAAACAGACAAAAACAGACTTTGGCCACATAAACCTCTGGGGTCGAATGGATTCGGACCCCACCCAGGGAGTCGCTCTTCTGAGGACTCCACCCCAGTTGAGCCTGCTCACAGTCTTGAAGAGGCTCTAGGTGGGAGGAACCTGTGCCCTATCTGGCTCCCTCCCACCTACCCACAGTGCACTAAGAATCATTCGATTCTTACCTCTAGAGGCTTCCCCAATAAACTCCTGTAGGTCGATTGATCGGCAATAGGGCCCGACTGGGACCGGCCTACCCGGAGCCCCGGAATACCGTCAGAGTGGCCTAGCCCCGGAATACCATCAGGGTGACCTCTCCTTTCCGCAGACAGGTGTCCAGAGGGGCCAAACACCGCTGATGTCTGATCCTGGTCTCTTCTAAAAAGAAACAAAGGCTCCAAGATAATAAGCTCCAGAGCAGCTGGCTATTTTGTTGGGGCCTCCAAGTATGTTGCACCCAGCGAGAAAGAACCAACCAGAGACCGATGTTAAATCCACACAAGAGTTTATTACCGGCCGGGACCCAAGCTGAGCATTGGACTCAATGAGTCCCGACTGGGGGAGATTAACATGTTTTATACACCTTTGAGGCCAGCTGTTTCTAGGCCCTCCTATGGGATAGAACCAGCAAAGCAAGCAAAAGGTACAGAAGCAGAACGCCCTGTCTTTAGAACATTTGTAAAACAATAGTTGATTAATTGTTGCTTCTAAGAGACTCTCTAAGGGGAGGAGGTTTCTAAGCTTCCTCCTTCTGAGTTCATCTAAAGGGCAGGCAGGTGGGTCAAGCAGCAATATGGAGTCTGTCTTGTTAACTAGGGTCCTTCAAAAATGATCAAAAAGGGATATGTAAATGTACCATTTCACCAAGTTGTATGTTATTATTATGTATCACAAATATACACTAAGGAAATACATGTTATTAATTTTAAAATATATATTTCCTTGATATGTCTCCTTTTTCTCCTAGTTATTTCTTAGGAGTTCTCCCTGTCTAAATGAATTCTTTTGCTACATTCCAGAAGAATTTTATGCTTTAACTTTGTTTCAAATCTTATAATTTCTATTGTGCTTTCTTCTTCCATTCACAGTTGTTTGACAAATGTGGCTTTCAGTGGAATTATTTATAAATTTCACAGTGTATACATATATTAAAACTCCATGAGTTATATCACAAATTTCATTTTTATTTGCCCTTAAAGGAAATTGCTTAAACTATGTCTATTTTCAGTTTTTTGTTATTGTTGTTGTTGCTGTTGTTGTTGTTGTTGTTTAAAGACAGGGTCTCCCTAATTCGTTAAGTTTCCCAGGCTGGGCTTGAACTTACAATCCTCCTGCCTCAGCCTGCCAGAGTGCTTAGATTATAGGAATGGATCAATATGCCTCACTTAAACTATTGTCTTTTTACTAGGATTAGAAGTCCCATTTGACCCAGCTATTCTTCTGCTGGGTATCTTCCCAAAAAAATTAAAAGAATAATACCACAGCGATATATGTGTACCCATGTTTATAGCAGCACAGTTTGTAATAGGTAAAGCTTGGAACCAGCCTAATTGCCCATCAACTGGAAACTGGATAAAGAAGATGTGGTTTTTTCTAAAATGGAGTACTACTCAGCCATAAAGAATGAGAAACTAGAGACATTTATAGCTAAATGGATGCACATTGAGGCCATACTCTTGAGTGAAATAAATAGGACACACATGTGTAAATACCGAATAGTTTCTCTGATGTGAAAAATTAAAAGTGTAAATAGGGATAAAAATGCATAATTGATAATGTGAACTAGGAAGAAAAGGTCTAAAGGAATAGGGTAAGTGGGAAGGGTAGGGGAAAGGAAAGAAGGGAAAAGAAAAATATGAGAAAAGAAAAAAAATGGCAACAAAGTCTTTGTAAATAGGGAAGGTTGGAGGGGGTGAAGGGAGGGCAGGGGAATGGGGAAAAAATAGGAAGCAAGATACATCATATAAAGGCACAAGATCCCAATGATGAATGTAACTGTATTGGTATACCTAAAATGTACTAATAAACAATGGAAAAATTGTCTTTTTAAATTTCCACACACTTGGAAATTTTGTGATCTCACTACTGTTATTGATTTGTAGTTTCATTCCATTGTGGCCAGACAAAACATTTTGTACAGTATGAATAAAATGTATAGAGCCTTAGTTTGGACCTAATATTTGGTCTAACCTGTGACAAAGTCCATGTCCAGAAAAGGAGAAAGTCCACACTGCTGTTGCTCCAGGCCTTATCAGGTGTGTGTTTGCTTGGGAAAGGAGAAAGGAGCTCTAGAGCAAGGTCCAGTACTCACCCCAGCTAAGTCACTGCTGTTGGCACCCTGCCAGGTGCATTACTCTGCTAGTGCTCCCTGCTGGTAGTCAGAGAGTGTAGTCACGGATGAAGTCAAGAGGAACAGAAAGTGTATACAACACTCTATTCAATGTTCCCTTGCTGTGCAGAAACTGTAATTTGGCAGCAAAGTCTCATTTGTTGATACTTATTATTATTTCTGGTGCAGTTGGAGTCCTATTCAGGAAGCCCTTTCCTGTGCCTATAAATGGGAGTACTATGTTCTATTGGACTGTGTGCCCATATTTCTCAGACCTTGCTGGTTTTCTTATTATGCTCACTAATATTTCCCTGTATTCACTTCTGCCCTTTACTCTTTTCTTTTGCTTGTTTTAGATTTGGGGCTCTTTAACATCCAAGAAAAAGGATCATTTTATTTTTATTTTGTGGACCCATATATACAATATTTGAATTCTCATTAAAAACTCTTGCTAGGGCTGGGGATTTAGCTCAGTGGTTTCGCTGCCTGCTGCTCAAGTGCAAGGACCCGAGTTCGATTCCCCAGTACCAAAAAAAAAAGCCTCTTGCTAAACAGTTGTTTCTTGCAAAACAATGAAGAACATATCACTGTTGGTTTGACATGGGTTTTATGTAAGTTTTTAAAGAGTTCTCTTTTATACATTAGTGGGTAAATTTACAGCTAAATAATGAATTTTGGGATTAATTTCAAGATAATTCTATGAGCCTAAGAGACAAATGGACAGATTAAAGAAGAAAAGGCAAGGTTTGAAATTTTTTTAATTGGAGGACAAATGCATGAGGTATCATAGGACAATTCTCTAATGTTTTAATGTGGCTGAATTTTTAAAAATAATACTATGAGTTAAAACAATTTTCCCAGCACCTTGTAGCTTGAACTTCAAAATGTCAGTTCATGATTACTCATCAGAGAACATTATAATAAAAAAAATTCTGGAAGTACTCATGCCTAGTCATGAATCCAAGTTCACTTTCATTGATTTATGTGACACTTGAGTCAATAAATGCCATTTTTCTGAGCTTCAGAGGCCCTGTAGGATAATAAAATCAGTGATCTCTGCCTTACAGGGTTAGGAAGTCTGCAAAATCATATTGACTTAAAGACTAACAACTTTGAAGCCTATGTTAATCCTTCTGCCACTTCTTCACCCTCCAAAATCAACATGTTTCTTTCCTCCACTCTGCCCTTTGACTTCACAGATGTTCCAACCACCAAAGCATCTTCACGGCCCACCTGGGTCCTGCTCAGATGTGCTGAGGGCAACCTTAAGCCCCACTGACTGATATCATATCCTACCTAATGCCATAGCAGAACATGATAGGGCCAGCTTCACACTCTACATGCTGCCACATTTATGTTCTTCTAAGGATAAACTCAATAACTACCAGGGCACAGCCTCAGAGCCCTCTTGGCACCAGAAGATACTGCACTAATATTCTCTGGGCATCAAGTTCAGTGCTAACTCTTTTCAAATACTGGTGCATACATGGAGGAAATCTCAATTGCAATCTGATGCCACTCCCTCCCTGGCTCTACCAGAAACTGATCTCAGAACATGCCAGACTAATTCTATGCCCAGTGATGGTGCCATTCTCAGAAAACACTCACTTGTAAGCTTGATCCTCATGTGGCACCCAGAGTAGGATGGAGCAGGGAATGAAGAGATAGGACGAGATCAAATTCCAGCTCCCTCATTACATTGGTGACCCCAACATGATTGATGATGAACCAGTCTCATCACTACAAAGATTTGAAAGGCCATATGCACATAGACTTAAGCTCCTGGAGTAGAACAAGCCCAGCAACATGTAACTGTCATTATTGAGAAGAGTTTTAGGAAGGAAGGGCAGTAGGGCCACTCTTCAAAACACCCAAGCTTCCCCATGGTTCACCTGGTCTCTGCCCAGATGAGTTGAGGTCAATCTCAAACCCCCAGTGTCTAATGGCACATCCTACCTAGCATCCCAGGGTTCACTTCTGATCCTAACATTGGAGTTCACCAGAATCTTGCATGCTAAAGTTTCATTTGCCTGCTTGTCGTAGTCCTCAACAAACCAGGAGTTGCTCCTAAAGCAGACTTCATACACCCAAGTATGACTTTCCATTCCCAATTCCTCCCTTTACATGGGATTAAAAAAGAAAGCTCACAAAGGGGGAATTTGAGAATGCAGAGTAGGAGAGACAGGTGTTAAAGGCCTGTGCTTAGGGGCCTTTCATTTATATGCCATCAGGCACCCTTTCTGTTATATCCTCACTGCAGCCATATGTAAAATGGAAGCATTCATTATGCCAATAATGATAATAATAGAAATGATCCAATGAATCTGCAGAGCTTCGCTAAGAGACTGAACAAGAATCTTGTGATGCTTTTCTAAATAAAACCTTTAGGATGATTGAGATTTTCTACCATATTCATGGTTGTTTGTAGGAACCAGCCTACAAGCTCAAACCTAACCAATGGATGACAAAGATGAAAAATAAAGAGACACAGAAACAAGTTAAAACTGGGGGCCAGGAGGCTTATGTCTCCCTTTAACATAGAGCCCCAAATGACTGGTGCACTTGTCTTTATTCACTCAGACATGGACATAAGCAATTAGTGTTCCACATAATTCATCTGTCTCCCACCTTCCACAGTACTTCTCCAGATAAACAACTTAACCTCGGGTATTTTTACTTTTCCCTGCAGCATGCTAGCGTGCTTCCATGCCCTTTCTTCTCAGTGCTCACTGAGGACATCAATTAGGCCTCATTCTTCCCATTTCTTCTCCCATATCTCCCCCTTTTTGTTTTATAATAACAGCAGTTTGAATATCAGTCACTGCTGTTTATCCCTGGGCTGAAGTATATGTCAATATTGACAATACCTCCACCCACATTCCTAATATATCTGTATTGGCTCTTTTCAAAGACTAAGCCCTGACTGTTTATACTATGATTAACTTAACCAAACCCCCCCTATGGAGAGGTAACCCTCAACTGCTGAGAGGGGGTAAAGGGCACACACCACTCTAATTACTTCCTGCTGAAGAGGGATGTAGTTGTGATCTGCAGTCATAGATACCCTTGAGAGAATCTATTCAAAGGGCCCTCAATTGATGCTAGGCTTTTCATCTCAGGTAGGCACTGACCGAGAACAAGTTTTTCTGCCTCGTGAGTAGTTTTCTTCTGTTGTCATCTGAGGGGAGGCTTTCATTGTTGAGAATAAAGTAGAGTCCCTCCACAGACACATCATGGGGAGGACTTCTCCATGGTCGTATGCTCCTAGAGGGTAGGAGTATTGACACTGTCCGTCTCCTGCAATGACACACGCAAATCCCCACTGCTGGGAGTGCTGCACTGTAGACATGCCTTCCTTCCCATCTGTTCCCCATAAAACCATCAAAGAATGATGTTCTGCAGACCTTCATTGCTCTCCCTGTTCTGGTTATAGACCAGCCCTTCACCTCCCCCTGCACTTCCCTTATCTCTACCACTACAAATAAATGCACTACGGTTGCCAGCCAGTCCTTTTCTCTCAACAGGAGGAAGGTTCCACCTGGCCTCAGCTTTTTGTATCCCTTTGTCTTTTTTTCATCCCCCACCATTCTCCCTCCATGAACTCTCCAGCTGTGCAGGCCATGGCAGTTGGCACCTGAACAGACCAGAGTATGAGACAAGTTGCATATTCAGGTGAGGGGATGCCTCTGGGTATGCACGCATAAGTTTAGGGATGAGGCAGATTGGAAATTCACCAGGTATAAAACAGGGCAATCAGGATCCCACGAGCCACATTTGTATACAGAAATACAGCACATTTGAAACCTAAAGGATCTAAATGTAAAGACCTTCCAATTAGCAAAGTTTTTGAATTTTGTTCAAGAGTTATGTCTTTGGTTTTCCGAGTCTGGAACAGTAAATCCAGAGATATGCCAATGGGTGGGGAAACAATTATGCCCCTGGTATACAACTGAGGGTCCGGAAAAAGTCTTTATATATACCTTTTCCTTATGGACTCTAATCTGTGAGTGCTTTGATGATTGAGCCTCTGTGGAGTCCACCCCTAAAGATTTGGCTAAAATTATTCTAAAATTACAAAAAATCATTCAGGACTGTAAGGCTTTGAGAAAGTCCTTGCCCAGTCTGGAACTGCCGGCTCCTACTGAGCCTTCCACTCCACCTGAGGAGCTTGCTGCCTCTTGCCATGAGAGCTCTGATGAAGAGGTACTGGAGGGTGATGACAAAACCCTTGAGGAATGTATTACGGCACTTTCAGTGTCAGCACTGCCAAAAGTGAAACCCACTTTTTCTGTACCATGGGCTCACACTTCTGCTTCGTGAGCACAAAGAAATTCCAATAAGCCACATGACACAGCTTCCTCATTTCTTGCAAAGGCTTCCTGTTCCCTTTCACTACTACACCTTGCATTGAAAGAGGCCAGACACATAGGTGAGAGAGGGAAACAGGACTCTGCAAAAGAAAGTAAAACTCTCTCCTGGCCCCTCCTATTTGCATATCAACAGCTTGTTTGGCAGGTTACACTGAAAAGAAATTCCATTAGGCTCATTGTTTTCTACATAAATATTGGAAAATAAAATAAAAGGGTTTAAAACAGTTACAACAAAATGTAATGATTAAGATCACAGCACAAAGACCAAATACTAGGTTACAGCACAGTGCCTGCTACAGACTGTTTGCTCCATAGTGGGCCATAGATTTAGCTCAGTGGTTCTGGAGACTGCCTCACAAGCGCAAGGTCCTGAGTTTGATCCCCAGTACCGAATAAAAGGCTAAAAAAAATAGACTATTTGCTCCATATTAAAATCAGCTGGGCCGGGGATTTAGCTCAGTGGTTTCGCCGCCTGCTGTGCAAGCGCAAGGACCCAAGTTCGATCCCCGGTACCAAAAAAACAACAACAAAAAAAAACCCCATAAAATCAGCTGTGATGTACCGACAGGCAAAGAAAGAAAGAGAGAAAGAGAGAGAAAGAAAGAAAGAAAGAAATAAAGAAAGAAAGAAAGAAAGAAAGAAAGAAAGAAAGAGAAAGCAAAATGAATGAATTAAATTATAAGTTCTGCCTGACCCCTCAATGACCAGCTAGACAGAAGGTGAGGATCTCAGCAAGTGGAGCCTCGCTCCATCCCCAGAGCCACACCCCAAAGCGACCAGCTTAGCCTGGCCCAACCCCCCTCCACACCCCCACACCCACAACTCCCCCTACCCCACCCCCACCCCAGCCTCTGCCCTCCTGGCTGTGCCACTACCTGATTCCACACTACAGAGGCTCAGGGGGTCATAAAGGCCATTGTCCTGAGCTCCAGAAGATAAAGCAGAAGTGAACAACAGGAAGAGGGCCTCTCTCAGGCTCCTTCATGAAAACTGAAGCCCACTGGAAAAGTGAAGAGAACCTCTGCAATAAAGGCACACCAGACCACTGTACTTGGTAAGTTGGAGGAATCGTCACCTCCCATCAGAACCTGGACTATCTTCAGGGGAAGGGCAGCTGGAACCTGCAGTAGAATCTTGCAGAGTTCAACCCTGCAGGAGGACAAGGAGCTCAACTTGGGACTTGCAGCCAGAAATCTTTCTGAATCTCATGGGTCTGCAACTGGCTTGCTGAGACTCATTGACTTATATCTGCACACTGCTGCCCACGTTATCGATTGTGACAGCAGACAGATACCCTGAAGGAGGCCCTTCATTTTTAATTTTATTTGTTATTTTCAAAATTTTTTGCTCTTATTTTTTTTTGCTCTTATTTTTAATTTCTATTTTTTTCTACTCTTCAAATTTTTATGTTTCTCTTTTTTCTTTTTCTCTTTTCTCTCTCTTTCTCTCTCTCTCTCTCTCTCTCTCTCTCTCTCTCTCTCTCTCTCTCTCTCTCTCTCTCTCTCTCTCTCTCTCTCTCTCTCTCCACTCAGTGTCCCACATTGTTCTTCATCTTCCTTTTTCTTCCTGTTCTGGACCTAATTCAGATTTGTTCTTTTTTTTTCTTTTCTTCTCTTTTTCCTTCTCTCAATTGTCATTAGTTTTAAAGGAAAGTAAATACAGTTTCTAGCCTCCCTGTTGCTATTAGGTTCTTCAATTCTTGTCTTTCTTCTTTCATTCTGTCTTTTCCTTTTCTCTTCAACAGTTTCACAGAGTTGGCATGATCTTCCTGTGTCCTCTGCCCTCACTGCTAACCTTTTCTTATCCTTCTACCTATCACTCCCTCCCCAACACCTTCTAACTCCCCATCCTGAAGGGTAAAGTTGCTATATTCAAGAGTTTATTCACTACAAACATATGTTGGGCTGGTCTTTGATATTGATTAATTCACACAGTTAAAGATGATAGACTAATAACTACCACAAATTGTCATTTTCTAAGCTGTGCTTGATACTATGGTGTTGCTGATTGTATCATTTGGGCTAAGGTGTTGTGATTGATCTAAGGAGTTGTCCTTCCTGGTATAATGGAAATGAGACAGCCTCAGAGTCATTAGAGACTCAAAACCTAAAGACTAGCTATATCTGGAAGACACCTCTGAGAAGCAATCATTCCATAAGGGTTCTAAATACAAGCAACAAAGATACTTACAATAAGCAATTTTGAAGTATCAACCAAGGAATTGAACCAAGGACAGTACCAAAAACAAAAATGAGAAGACATTTAACCAAGGCACAAACTCAGACTTCCACCCCACCAAAGGCAAATTCTGGGGGGAAACAGGTGGAAAAGTCTGATAATCAACCACATGGACACCCTGAACTGATAGGATAAAAAGTAACAAAACAGATGAATGAGGCCCTAGAAAAATTCAAAACAGAAATAATTTCCCTGATAGCTACAGAGATGGTAAGCAGAGTGAAAGACATGATCAGAGGCTCTAGAACAGAAACAAATAAAAAAAATAGATGTGCTCAGAAACATGCTAGAAGCCATAAATGCCCAGCATAAGAAAGAAATGGAAACCATAATCACCCAACATAAGGAAGATATGGAATCCATGAAACAGATTCAAACAGATATCCAGGAGATTAAAAACTCCATTGAAAGTATGCACAGCAGATTAAGGGAATGTGAAGATAGACTACCAGATATAGAAGACAGGATTGTGGTTAATGACCATGAAAACAGACATTTCTTAAAAATAGTAAGAGACCACGAGAAATCAATCCAGTGGCTGCTAGATGATGCAAAGAATAATAACATAAGACTGATAGGGGTCCAAGAAAAAACTGGAGAAGGTACAATTGATATAATAAAACTGTTCACAGAAGTAATAATAGAAAACTTCCCAATCAGAGGTGGAGAATTGGACATACAGATAAGTGAGGCATATAGAACTCCAACTAGCCATGATCAAAAAAAATCTACACCTACATATATAATAGACAAGATCCCAGAAACCCAGCAGAAAAACAAAATCCTACAAGCAGTTAGAGAAAAGAAAAAAATCATCTACGAAGAAAAGCCCATCAGAATCACAGCAGACTACTAAACACAAACCTTCAAGTCAAGAAGAGCCTGGAGTGAAGTATTCCAAGCCCTGAAAGAAAATAACTTCCAACCTAGATTTTTGTATCCTGCAAAATTATCTTTCAAAATCAATGGAGAAATTAGATACTTCCATGACAAAGAACACCTGAGAAATTTCATGAACACCAAACCAGCACTCCAGACAATTCTAAACAATATCCTAGAAAAAAACAATGAAGGTCACAACTCCATGAGGCCCAACAGAGGGAAGCCACCAGGCAAGGTAAGAAACTAAAGGGAAAGAGAGAAAAAAAAAAAGAAATAAAAGAGCCAACAACAGTAAAACATCATGACAAGGATGAGTCAATATCCATCAATTATAACTATCATTGTTAATGGCCTCAATTCACCAATCAAAAGAAATAGACAGACACAGTGGATTAAGAAGCAAAATCCAGCAATATGCTATATACAAGAAACAGACCTAACTCAAAAAGAAATTCATAGACTGAAAGTAAAAGGACGGAAAACAGTTCTCCACACCACAGGAACCCAGAAAAAAGCAGGGGTAGCAATCTTATTTGCAGACAAAGTAGATTTCAAACCAAAACTAATTAAGAGAGACAAAGATGGTCACTACATCCTTGTGAAGGGAACAATCCAAGAGGAAGAGATGACAATCCTAAATATATATGTTCCAAATACGAATGCCCCCAACTATACAAAACAAATATTAATGGACATGAAAAACCAAATAAGCACTAATACAATTGTAATGGGGGCCTCGATAGCCCACCATCACAAACAGACAGATCATCTAGACAAAAAATTAACAAAGAAATTCTAAAACTGATT